AAAGCTGCAACTTGTTTCCCAATGAAGACCTTGGGGGTGCCACTTCCAGCTCTGGGGGGGGGCTCTTGCATTTATACCTTTGAAGGCCATATGTAATCTCAATGTATGGGTGAAATTATGAGTGTATAAGTAAAATTATAAGTTTCCAGAATGTCAGGTCAGGGACATAACTCAATACGTTAACAAGCACACAAAGAAAATCGAATTATTGTGTTAATCTGACTAAGACCATACTTATAAAGTACCTGTAAACATGTTAGTCTGACTGAAATCGTACTAAATCGAATTTCTCATAGTTGGACTAAAACACCAAGATAATGCCACCTATCATATCGGAGTCGGACATACACACAGCGAATAAATCGATTCCCCTCCTGTGCATATATACTGGGACAAGGCCAGTAGTCCGATTAAATGGTATAGTCGAGCTATAACCGTAGCTTCACTTAGCTGTGCATGGAAACGTACTAACTGTTGCAGAAGAGACAGAACAGCTGGTTCTGCTTTCAGGAGGATCTGCGAGAAAACAACAGACAGGCTGAACAGGGGAACCAAGAGCGGAGAGCAGAGACGCAATCCAGCTATCAAACTTCACACTAATTCTAGAATGTTCCTCCTAAAGAGCCAGGGGCCTTTGTAAGATGAGACAGCTGAACATCATGTACATGCTATAATGCAAATCAGCATAACAAGCCTGCTTGTAAATCCTTAATTTTGTACACAGGTCTTCATGTTCAAAGAGATAACAGAAGTACCCAAGACAGCGTGTCTACGGGCGTTGGCGCTCAATAAATCAGCCATGTGTAAAAAAAAAACCATTCACAGAACATTAGAAAACTCCACTGTTCCAGAAGCTTCTCCGGTGCCACTAATTTTCAGTCAGCTGTCAGTTTATGGCAAGATAGCCATTTAGAATCAGGAGTTTTGTGATAGTATCCTGAGGATTGATGGTCTCATGTCAGGAATCAGCAACTGCCTTACACATCTGTAGAAAAGATGTTCTCTGATATATGCCTCCTGACAAGCCTCCAGCAAATAGGAGGGATGTGCCAACCAAAGGGTCTAAATCAGCTGACGTGGGCAACAAACAGCCAATTTATCTGGGTGTTTAGAGCAGGGACCACTTTCACAACTGAATATGTACTTCATACATCACGTGTGGCTGGCTAGCTCACACTTATCCAATGATTTTGACCTGTTCGGCCAGCTGGACTATGGTTAAGAACCTTTCTTAAAGGTCCCGCAGTAGACCTGGACCAGCGCTGCCTGGGGTAGATGCCCTTAATCACCACACTACCAGCTGGCCCTTTGCTGCTTGGGGTAAATAAGTACTGCACTCCAGGCTGGCCATTAACAAGTAGGACACAAATCAGTCAATTCATGGAATGTACTGTATATTACAAATTTACTTCAGAGCTAAATGCAGGAAAACTGGGGAATCTGACCCACATACAAACCTGTGCTTCCAACATAAATTATTCACACGCAGCTCGACTCAGAAACATGTCAATTTCTCATTTCTTTTCTCATTTTGTATCAAAATATCAATATATAGAAAATTCAACCAGGCCGAGAGGATTCAGTCATTTTCTGGCTTCGCTAAACTCTTAAGAAACGTGAATATTTATACACCAAACCATGGCACAAACATTGTGATCTGTGGTAGAGGAAATCACTATGAAGCATATGTCCCATTACTAACGATTTAGGACCAGGGGCCAGCTTGTTGTTTCTGGGGCCCCACTGAAAGAGTCAGGTTGCCCACCCCACCCCCATGCCCAGATATTTCAAAAACAATCAGAAGATGGTAGCTAACTACCTGGTTAGCAGAACATGCTACTTCAGCATCTCCCAAATAAGGAACGTTATAAAATTTAATACAGTGGTACCTCAGTTCTCAAACTCATTAGAACTCGATCTGAATCTCAGAAGTCAAACCGTGAACACCGACCTAAGATAATTTGTACACATGGGGAAATGAGTCACGTGACACGTCTCTCAGCGGCAACAAAGGGTAACACTTCAGTCTCAGCCTCGCATTCACTGTATTGTAAACAAGCATTGTGCATGTTTACATTTAGACAGTAAAAATACATTTAGACAATGATGGACAGTAACAGTAATTATTATATAATAAAATACATTTAAAAATTAAGATTTCTTATTATTATAATATTAATAATAAACCATTAATACATTTCATTATAATAATATTGTTGTGCCGAGCGAGGACAGAACGGAGACAAAGATGCAGACATCAGGGTATCAGGGAATATGGGGTTTAATTACAGGTAAGGCAGGCAAAACGCAGACGGACAATACAAAGACCGGACTGGGGAAACAAACTGAAACGCGGACTAAATACAGAGGACTAATGACAACAACCAGAAACAGCTGATCACACGGGGATTCCACACGGGGTTAACGAGGGAGCGTGGCACGCGGAAGGAGCAGACAATCGGGGCATGATACATTGTTTTTTTAACATTACACATTGTTTGGATACATTTCCTTACTTTACAAATTACTGTTTTGATAAATGTGCTTAGATGTGTTTAGTACAGTATATGCTCTTCTTGTTTTATCCGGTTCATTTTGTGTTTAAATGCTAAAGAAAAAAAAAACATATTTAGGGGTCATTTTTTGGAGCTGGGAACCAATTAATTGGTTTTCCATTATTTATTATGGGGAAAATTCGATCACAACTCAAACTTTTTAGGATTCGATCCGGAGTTCTGAACGGATTAAGTTCAAGTTCTGAGATACCACTGTATTTATTAAATTTAATATTTAGTGTAGTGAATGTTTGGCCAACAGGGGGCCCTGCACAAACATGTGGTTTGAGTGGTGGTGAACACTGCTACTAATTAGGACAGACTGAATATGATCCTTAAATGACGTAGGAATCAATCTGTCACTTGAGTAGGGACGAAGGGTCTGTGTCAAGATGCCATTTAAGTGTGGAATGCAGATGTGCGTTTTGGAGGCTTTAAGTGATCATTAAATATAAAGCAGGACTGAGGTCAGGGCTGAAGGTGTATTATCTGCTTAATATTCAAGGTGTGGGACAGCTAATTAATGCCGCTTAGGGCTGTCTACCGTTACAAACGCTTTCATTTGAGAATCAGCGGGAAATCAGACTTTCGTTTTTCTGAAATACAAGAACAATACTCCCAATATTCAAAATGTTCCCAACACTTAATGTTCTTAATAATGGTTGACAAATGCCATTGTATTCTTCATGTTCTAGAAATATTGGCACATGTGCTTGTTTCAAGTCAAAAGCCTTGTGAGTTTGAGTAAGAAACCCACTTAATGTCCAGGGATTAGTCAGAAAATCAGTTTATAAGCATGTATGTTGTGTGTTAATTAGTGGCAGCAAGACAACATAAAGACAACTTCTAACACTAAGCAATGTATGACTCCACACTTACATAAAAACTGACTATGGAAGTTTCGAACCCTGCCAACTCACCATCCCCAAGCTCAAAGTGAAACTTTTTCTTCATCAATAAAAGAAAACCTTTCTGGAGATCATCCAATAGATTGTGTTGAATACCCAACCATCTATGGACAGTCTGAACGATGACTCCCTCTTGATATTCAAAGTAGGTTTGAGAAATGCCCATTTTCGCAGAATCAATCACTTCACACAGTCTCAGAAGTGTAATCATGGAACCTCTGAGAGCTCTGTCACCATATAAAGGGAGCCTCCTAGAACACAGGGACAGCCAACATGCTCAGAGCCCTGTCACCATATAAAGGGAGTGTCCTAGAACACAGGGACAGCCAACATGCTCAGAGCCCTGTCACCATATAAAGGGAGTGTCTTAGAACACAGGGACAGCCAACATGCTCAGAGCCCTGTCACAATATAAAGGGAATGTCCTAGAACACTGGGTCAGCCAATGTTCTGACAGGAAAAGAACAACCTGGAACATTTGTATGGCAGATGTGATAGTTACAGTGGTACATTGACCATGGTCCAGGCCAATTCTTTTGAAATTGTACTCAACCATGAAATCAAAGAGGTTCATTCTCTTTTCCACTCATTCTCTAACTACTGAGGCCCTATTCTTTTCTGCAAAGAATGATTACCAAGAGGACATACCTCAAAGCAAAAATAAAATATGTTTATTGAAATATAAAACTAAGTATCAAGGCATGATTTCTAATTCCTAGGCCCTGCTAGTCTTTCTGTTGGATTTACAATTATCTTTAAAGAGGCATAGCTATCAGAAGAGCTTGTTCTGCAGAGCGTCCTTCAGGGAGTGTATAAAGTGACATTCCCTCGGCGGTGAATGTGCCAGCCTTCGTAATGAGAGAGAGAAAGGAAAGAAGACAGGAAATTAGCACTGGCCTCAGTGTCTGACTCAACAGGAAATGGTAGAAATAGCAGAAAAACTCCAACCTCATCATGAGAAAATCTATCATATTGTAGTCTGTCTGTATTGTTGTATCTCAGATTGTCCCAAGCATAAAGGCACCACTAAATGACCATGGACCCAGCTGATTCCCCTCATCTCTGGATACAGCTGTATTAGTCAACAGCCAATGCTTAATGTCCGATAGAGAGAGCTGGCACCACTCATCTAGTTTCGGATAAGAATCTCATAAATGAGGGAATGCCTTGCCCTCTGGATTTCATAACTGATTCGCTTAAATCTGCTACACAGCAATTAGTCTCGTTCCTCATCTGGTCATGGATCAGATTTTGGGAGGGGCTTGAGCGTGCATTTCTCTGAGGGCTCATTATGTTTACACAACTCAATGCGATTCAGCTCCTTCCAAAAAGTCTTACTGGCCTGACGTACGCCAAGGAAATGCAATTAACATGTTAAAGCTTTAAAAATTTTAACAAACAACAGACAATTATTGAAGTTTTAAATCAGTTATTCACATAGGTGGCCCCAGGCATACAGCCAGCCTACGGAACTCCCTGCCTTTCACTAAACTCCCTTGTGAAGGTGTCGAGGCTGACTTGTCGCTTTCACTCTCAGGCATATGACGATGGATATGACGGCGAGTATGACGACCAGAGTTACGATACTTATGAAGACACCTACAGCAGTCAGACAAAAAGGTGCGTATCCACGGGGGAAACAATGGCCTGCAGGAGCCTGTAAGTTGAAGGGGATCCTGGTCTATAGCTTCCTACTCTCTAGCCTGCCTGTGGTGGTTAAAGTACGACAATTCTCTGGAGCTGCTCTCAAGAATTTGTTTCATATTTTGAGAATCAATTAAAACGAATCCAGGCACTTCTGATGAGCAGTCTGGAGACACTTTCCCAGATATATAGTGGTTTGAATGGGGACCTTAGAGAAGGGGAGGGGTTTCCTCAGAAATCCCCACCTATCCGGTGTCCTTTAACAGTGAGACCCCAAGAGTAACATCGTTATTACTTCAGAGTAATTGCAACTGTTACTAACTGTAGCACTTAGTCATTCTTTACAAAAATGTTAGATTCCACTTACTAAACATACTAAATGCACCAACTTCTGAGTGCCTCCTGTAAACATCTCGTGTGTGTGTGTGTAAAGCTCTTCCTCTTTTATTTGATGCTTTTAGCCAAATGGATGCTCACCCAAAGGCATGCTGGGTTAACCAGCCAGAGATATAGATGCTCGGTCCAGCACACACAGCACTGACAGCCATACATCGAAAACAACTGTGATTCTGCTGGCAGCGCTGAGTGGACGTTGCACTGCTGAAATCAGACAGCAGTCAAAAGACTTGTTTCGCCACCAAGAGCAGCACTTGAATAACTGTCAGTCACTTGGATCGAAAACTCATTTCCTGCATTCATGTAAACCAATCAGCGCCTATTTTCAGAACGATTACAGCTGAACTCTGAGACGTGAAGCTTTTCTATTTAAACAAGCGCTTTCCGTCTTGGCAAACCATCATTATCACTCAAGAGCTAAACTGTTTTGAAGAGACGTCTTCAAAGAATACAGCAGTCTCACATTAAACACGTGCCACTGTAATCATCTTCTGCTGAAGAAAACTAGGAACTTTGTATATAAACGTGTTTATTAATTCAGTCGTTCATTTTCACTTTTACTTATCTAGTCATATACTCTTCTGAAATTAATATATCAATAATGGCTCATTTTCCATTATTTTAATGCTCTCGTTTGATTGTTCCTTCACTGAAAATCACAGGAGTAATCATAATAATATTTTGAGCTCCTTGTGTATACAGAGTGCTTCACAGTGGTGTTCATGCATCAGGTGGCTCTGTCCTTAAAGACACAGTGTGCTGCATTGTGCCGTACTGTTCTGGGAATGAATGGCTTTCCTGTGTGTGCTGCCTCACTTCACACCCCACACCACCAAGCCCATGATGGGGGAGCAACAGTAAGCATGTGGGATCGTTAGTAAGGTCACTGTTAATTGTGTACATGTTTGAGCTCATTGAAAGGATGATCAATCAAAGCCGACATGCTTTTAACACCCCCACTGTTGTCCTTCGCTCTCTTCATGATGCATGTATCAAATTACCCCCCCCAAATATGTCGCTGTGACGACAGCGGAAGTCTAAGCGATTCCATAGTCAAATTGGGGGAGGACAGTTCCGCATCGTAACCCCAAATTTGAAACCCCATCAATTAAACTCATTAGTCTGGTTAATTTCCTGCAAGATGAGCTGTAAAATGGCAGGTCCTACAAAATCCTCTCTGAATCGGTCCATTACCCTTAAAGCAGGACACGGAGCATTATGCGTCCCTGTTACCTAAACACACCTTGTTAAGCGCGTCAGGCCCGCACCGTGGGTGAGGACGCCTCTGTAGCATGTGTCATGAAAATGGGTCAGCACAAGAAGAGTTATGAAGTAATTCTGAAATTTGTCTGTCTGCGGGTCTGCGGGTCCACCTTCAGCAGGGTCTTTGAGTCAGAATTGTATCCTGTACTTCCCACAGACTCATCATTTTCCATCTTTCTCTGGATTTGCAATCTACAATGCAAAAATTCGGTTATGAATCAGAGGCAGCTTTGGAACATTCTAGCCATCCTGTCCTGCTTAAACCACCATCTTCTTTCATTGCAGCGCTTCTGAGTACTACGAATACAGCCACGGCACAAACGAGGACGCCTACGACGCTTACGGTAAAGACTGCCCATCTATTTCTCCTCTCCATCTGTGTTTTTGTTGCTTTGCTTCATCAGAATAAAAAAACTACCGGATGCCCTTAGGAAGAAAACAAAAAAAACTTCCTTTTTCAGCTTTTGTAGAACTTTGATCTTCTTGAACTGATTAGCTTTGTTCCAAACACAAGAGTTCTGTATCCAGGAGGGGTTACATGTGAACAGGATTCCAGTAGCAATTAATAAAAGGGGGTCAAATTGATATCCGCAGGGATGCTGAGATGCCTGATTAGTACCTGGGAGTGTTTTACTTTGCCAAGTGTCACATGTATCGACTCGACAACAATTCCTCCTGCGCCAAGGCCGGGGCACCCACTGCTAATCCAAGGTCTGGTGGGGGCGGCACAGCGCCAGCTGGAGTTAGGGAGCGTGGGTAATGTGCATTATTCATGTCCGACGGTATCAGGGCATGCGGACACCCCCATTCCTGACCTCTGGCAAATATGTGTTTGCCCGGACGCCCCTTTCAGATGTCATGTCCAGCAGGACCCCTGATGCTGCTCACTCACCATGGTTATTTTCCCCCTCGCTCAAGAACGGAATGTAAAAAGTGTTCTATTGACAACAAGCCTTTAGGGGTCTTTGTGCTGTGGTCCCTGGGGCTCCTTTTCAGGCCTGCAGACATGGAGTTCACACCGTTCTTCTGAGGGACGGATGTAGCTTAAACTCGGCCCATTGACTCCATCAGGGAAAGCCACAGGCTGCCTTTCTCTTATATAAAAACGAATTCCTCCCACGCGGCAGCGAGAGAGTGTCCTTTCTCTGGGGGAGATAAGGGGAGGCGGTCTGGCTGATGTCTGAGACGCAGTATACCGTGAGTGGTTCCCGGGCAGGGCCCTATGTACCTAGCCAGGCAGCTCCGGGGGGGGGGGGGGCTACATCCACAGCCTGCTAGCGGAAATCTGGACTGCCGGCAGCCAGTAGCATGTGCAGCTTGGATGGACACAGAATCCCAGCAGTCATAAACGTGCTTTTGTAGGATTAGAGCGGATAGCTGGCCCCATGCAGCTCTTGGCAATGAGCCCCCGGCATGGCAATTCCTAGTGTTCGTCTGCCTTGCTGTGCCTGTCTTCTCAGAAGCACGGGAAGCTGCTTCCAGAGTGTCAGGACGCAGAAGCCCAGAAAACCGGGAGTAAAGTTACGTGATTTTATGCTTTACTCTGCTGGGGATATGCTTTTTGACTGCCATTGGAATAAGCAGGTTAGGGTTAGATTCCCCACCAAAGGTCAATGTGGGCTCAACACCCCATAAAATTAAAGGAGGTGGGCAGTCTACCCAGCATGCCTTTTGCTGACAATGGAGATCTCTCTTTCTATGGTTTTATGTTTCTGGGCTTGTACCTGCGCAGATGAACTAGCAGGTCCACAGTGATATTTCTCTGAAACCCTCCATTTTCCCCAGAGGCGAGGGTGTCTCTCCTCCTGCTTTCAAAGGTCTCTCTCCAAGGCTCCTGAGCACCACAAAAAAGGCTTTCAGGTGAACTAATGAAGGCACTCCTGAGAGTCAAGGGCTCAGATGGGGTTGAAACAGTTAATCGTAACAGTCTGGAAATAACATACTGTCTGGAAATTTCCATTTTTACTTGTTTATGCAATGGATAATTAAGCTTTCGTTTCTGTATATATTTATACACACAAAGAGAATTTATTTCTATTTCTATAATTATACTCTAAGACAGGACAAAGTATGATACAGGGTGCAGGAGAGAAGCAGTGTGCAGCATGGCCCCCTGGTGGAAGGAACTGGAATGGTTTTTCCCTCCTTCTGCTCGTGACACCTCGCACAGCACAGCGGGTTAGGGAGAGGCACATAACATACGGCAGGACTCCAGCCACAATGGCTGAGGGTGTGCGGGTGCCACCAAGAAGCAGATTTCAGGGGCGCAACGTTCAGTTTTGTCTCCCTTAGGCACTTTTGGGCGCCATGCATCCCAGTCTATCACTGGGGGGCAGCATGTCATGTAGGTTACAACCCCCATCAGCCCTGGTTCTGATCCTGACCTAATTCGCCCTATTCCCTCAGAAGCAGCTAGGGCCAAAGCACATTAAGGAATGTTACTTGCTGCCTGAAGCTGTGACCCCCCCCCAAAAAAAAAAAAAGCAACAGGAGTATGGGGCAAGGGTAATAGCCCATCGGCTGGCACCCTCCAGAGCTGTGCCGTACGGGTTTGGGACAATGCCGGGTCAGGGACCCACAACACAACTATAATGACTGCATTATAGCATCGCTGATGGCTGTGAGGTAATTATATTTCACGCGCCCCCACGCTACTTAGCTTCTAGAATATTTTCATTACCCTGACCTTTATTCTTTTACTGTTATTGGGACTTCAGAGCATTTCCCCTCACATCCTAACGACTCTGGAAGCTTCCCTGACAGGCCTGTAGGGTGGCTCTGACACCGGGTCGGGTGGGACAGGCCATCGGTGATGGGCCATCGTGTGGGGTGTGTACCGTGCCCTTGGGGGGGAGGCGTACACTCTTTACTGGTGTATTTGCCTTTTTGCAGAAGAGGAGTGGAGCACGTCCCGGCCTAGCCTGAAGGCACCGTCGTCAAGGCTAACCCGAGGGACCTACAGAGAGCAGCCCTATGGTAGATATTGAAGGTGCTCCACATCTGTGACCTCCAACAAAAGACAGCCCTGTAACTGTGTGCTTACCCTCCCCCCGTGCCCTACCCCCCACACACACAAAAGCAAGAAAGTAATCAGTCTTTGTTTTCCTGGACCCCTGGTGAGCCAAGCTCCAGCCTAACCTTTAACCCCTGACATCGCTGTCAGCACGCTTTTTTTTTACACCATGGACTTGTTTTTAAAATGTAGGAGCAAAAAAAGAAAAAAAAAAGAAAAGCACAAAAAAATCCCACAAACCCCGAAATCTGGCAAAGCTGTTCTGGTGGAAATGGCTCCTCCTCCCAGCCACACGTTACTGTATGTCCAAAATAATGGCTCAACGGCACTCGGCTGCACCTGCTCCTCTCCGACGGCAAGAGTCCGGTTTCCAAGTGATGCGAGACGTTAACTTGTAGATAATTTCTTTCCTTTAATATCTGTTAGCTTCATGATGTTCAATACTGAGTATGTAAATTTAATTTAATTTTGTTATTGAGTGCACAGCGATCAGCTATGTCTGTAGCTAATTATCAGTGCTCTGTTCAGTGTTTAACCTGTATTTGTACATAAACCGTATAATAAAAAGGAACATAACATGCCCTGTGTAAGCTTCTAAATAGGTGAACATAAATGGTCAGATTTGTTTTGCCATAATTTGTCAATAAAGCTGAAAGCCTTTTGTAAAAATAGAGATATTTGAATGACTTGTTCCTTCTTCTACAGTAATGGCTAAACTGGTTTGATACGTCAAAAAGGATTCATCAACAAATGAATTTTAGAAATTTTGTCTTAAGTCCTTTTTGTGTAACAATAGATAAGCTGTATTAATACACTAAGAAGTATTGTTAAAAATAACTTTAAAGTTAAGTTTTAAAGAGCTAAATTGTTCCTTGGCTAGTCACATAATTGTATAACATGTTAATGGAAAAGCGATTGTTTAGAACAATAAATGGGTTTTTAAACGCACCTCTAAGTTTGATCTTACTAAACACCAATTCTGATTGACTTGTTTGCCATAGCGTGTTTCTGAGAGTGTTATGGAGATTGAGGTAAGGATGCCCCCACACACACTCCCCATCAAGGAAGGATTGCTGAAATGACTGCACCCCCCCCTCCCCAGTCAGCATATTCAAACCTACCCCCCCCTACCCCCATCAACATTTGAGCATTGCATAAAGTCACTCTCTCTGTCTTCTTCACTCCTCGGAGTGAGTCTGAGGTGTCTCTGACTTAACTACTCGTCGCTGTCACACATGTCTTCTCTCCCTCTGCTTTCTCTGTTGTCCAGCCCAATCTGTAATCTCCAGAGCTTTAAATATCAGCGCCCCTGACGGCCCCTTTAGAACTGAACTCTCTCTTGCGGCTAGTAGATCCCGAGGCGGATGCTTAGACAATAGATCGCGGGACTCACAGGATGAATAAGCGTTAATCAGGTAACCCCAACAATAACTAATTTTGCGTATGTCAATCATAAATGCTAAAGTTACTAATATTTAAAAAAGTAAACCTTGCCAACTTAACCCCAAATAGGTGCCTAGGCCTTTTAAAACCGCTAATTAATGTTAACTAGAGGCTTCAGAAAATCACTCGACCAAAACGAAAGGGAAAATAATGTAATCAATAAAAACGACTAAAATTAATATTAATTTTCACCCAACTAAACGTATGTTACATAACCAGAAGCAAAAGCATTGTGAAAATGGCACAGGGCAATCCAAGGTTTGCCTTTAAAGAATGATTTCTGTAACGCTAAGGCGCCGACTCCGTCCCCAGAACTGGTTTACTTTTTTGATAGTAACGTAGGTCCCGGCCTTGCGAGACTCTAGTCCGGGTCACCTTGCATGCCGTGTGCCTGCTGTCTCTGAGGCCGCTCCCGGCCGCATTCTCACTGCCCTCCTCTCTCCGCAGGCGTCTCTCGTACCCGGTCTTCAGGTGCTCAGCCGAGACGAGGCCTGAAGTGAAAGGGTAAGTCGATAAACTTTTATCTTTCTGTTCCGAGGCAGCGCCGCTATGAAAACTATATAAATGTCAGCCCTGACAGCTTCGCCGAAGAAGAACCTGCTATTAGACACTTTTCCAATGTACACATCGTGCGTCACAAAGGCAATTAATCTGCAGTTACGCTACTTTCTCCCGCCTCCGCTTAGGCAGCCGTCGCCGAGCGGAGGTAACTGTTTCGCGGCGCGCGGGTCTGACCAGATTCTGATTGGCTCGCTCAGAAAGACGCGCACGGCAAAACGATTAAAGCGAAACGTAAAAGGTGCCGCTCCGATCACATCTGATTATGCAAATTAATGCGCTGAAGTCAAGCAACAGAAGGTAAGTTGTCATTATTTGTCATGCGGCCGTACATGGTGGATGTTGAACTTGGAGAAACAATTATTCAAATTACTTTTATGTAATTATATAGTAACAGCATGAATTACAGACTGCATTTGATATTAAACTTGAAACAAACAAACTGCTGAGAGTTTGAGCATTGTTTGGATTTAATTAGATAAATCGGTTAATTACCACAGGACGGTATTAAATACGTACTGGCTGGTATAAATAAACAGCTGGGCACTTGTTGTGTTTCTATGGGTTTTATGGGAGCTGGATAAATCTTGATATTGAATGATGGGTAGCTGATGTACTGAAGGCTTAGATATTGAAGTTCCTTCCCTACACAGTTAAGCTACTATGTGAAATAGCTTACAATTATGGTCACTTGTCACTCCTGCACTTAATGTAATTTTTTTTCACACAGTCTGCATCTTTATAATTTATCTCTTTAATAGTGCAACTATCTCGATATATTCACTGCATAGTTACTTCTTCAATATTTTGTGTATTGTATATCATTTGCTTCATATTTGTATTGCATTGACTTTGAAAGTCACTAAGATAACCTTGGTGTGTAGCAATAAAACGTAACAGCAATAAAACCTTTGAATCTTGAATCTTTGAATATTGTTTTGTGGCCCGTGATAATGTATGAAACTGTTTGTCTTGAACACGTGTGATGGATGCATGCAGAGCAGGATATTGACGTGTAACGTGGGACAGGCTTACCGGCCCTGGGAGATGAACACACTTCAAATTTCTGTGTCATCCTAGAAATCTGGGTACAACAACAGAAGCTGTACTTCACTGTGGCTAAAACAGTCAGTGAAGCTGCCTTAAATATGTAGAAAACGTTTTAAAGTGGTTTTCTGGGGAAAAAAAGGAAATGCAAGCTTTAAAAAGAGATACTCAACGTCAGAGTCCTCATATGCATCCACTGGTAAAGGAAACATCCAGGAGGAAACAGTTAGTGATAGTGTTGAGAGCAAGCACACGTCTTCCCCTTCACATCTCGTGGTGGGGGGGGGGGTGCCGGACACACACAATTTAATGCTAATGAACAATTTCAAATTCCAAACTATATTAGCATTTTTAGACCAGGCTAACGTCGAATTAGCCAGTTAAGCTAAGGGGAAATTTGGCTAAAGCCAAGAGGGCAGAGATGAGGATGTGCCGGCCGGACCTGCACTGTCAAGCAGTGACCCGTCCAACCCACTGCTGGCTCATCCTTTTAGGTGGTACCTCCTCTAAGCGTGAAGAAGTTTTGAAATACTTCTTGGAGAAATATATTTGCATACTTCAGCACTCCTTTCTCTCCAGTCAATGGGGGGGGGGGGGGGTGGTTTTGCCGGCGGTGGGCTGTTAACGGACTTTCATTACCGAATTACAGGGGGCCAGAGCTGGTCTCCCTCTCTTTTATCCATAAAATGCCATGTTTTGGTCTTTATTGACTAAACTTCCACAGTAAATTAGTGTGTTACATAGTTTGTGGTGCAGCAAAGCTGTTTATTGGTATTTCTTTATTTATTTAACATAGAAAGGTCTGGATCACAATAAATAAGGTTTTTTTTTAATCTGCTGTAGGTTGTAGCTGATCTACAGCTATCAGTAAAGTGACGTAATGATCTAAAGGCTATGTGACAGTGGACTAGTCGGTTGGTAGTTATGTGGCGCCATTTTGGTTAGATATCACTGCTAGAAACACATTTTGCTTGCATTTGTCCAAATTCACCCTGCTTTTGTAGGCCTACGTTTTATTGCAAGCGCTGGGGTTTTAATTAAAATGTCAGCCTAATTGAAACCTTTAATTACTGAAACACAAAATAGATTTAGTTTTTTTTTTTTTTGCACTGAGCTAAATCCCCCAGAAATCATGCCCGGGATATTTCTCTGTTTAAAGACAATAAATACTGCTTGTGTACATATGTTTCTGATTATATTCCAGCAGTAATTTGTCTACAGTGATAATATTATGAATAATTACTATTATGAGTGGGGTAATAAATGGAATATGTTATAATGGATGAAGTGCGGCTGGGAAGCCAGATGCTAATCTGCTAATCAGCTAGCATGCTGTCAAGGATGACTTTATATATACAGTATGAATCTGGTTATATATTTATTTATGAGGTGGAAGAATCATCGGCCAGTACCGATTAGCATCCGCGAAGTGCAGCCTGTGAAGGGGAGGCGATATGCAGAGCCGGATGGGAGGCACTCAGCCAGAGGCCAACTTTTACGGCCGTTTCCCAGATACATTTCTTTCAGAGATGAAAATTCAAACAGATAAAGCAAATTTGAATGAAATTCTGACACAATCTTATATCTGACTTTGACATGAAGGTTATTATTGAACAAAACAAATGGGGAGCTATGGAACTTAATATAGGGTAAAATAATATAATTGAATAATGATGATTAAATCTCGGGTGAATCCTGGCCCCTTCGTCATGAGTGTGCGGGCCGTCGCTAATATTGTTAGCGCAGCCATTCCCCCCTGCACGCTCATTGGAACTCTACATTAAAGGCCCCTAATGCTGTAATGATATCTAATGTGGTCCTGCAGCTCTCAGACCGACCACTTCAATCATGTGCTCTGCCTGAACTCTGCACCCATCCCCCCCAAGGCGCGAGCTGTGTGGCTCTCATTCCTCCAAAGTAAGCAATCTGACAGCATGAGGTGTTTCAGCGTGGTTTAATGAGCTCATCTGATTATAGTCCTGGCATGGCATTTTCTGGAGGGAGGTACTGGTGTGGGGAGAGGGTGTGGCTTTCAGATTAAAGGTGTCAGTAAGACGGAGTGCCAGGGCGCCCCAGGATGTCGAGTGGTAGGTGTATAGATTTGTCAAAATGTTTAACCATGCTCTGACATCTATTGACTGTGACGTCAGCAGACGGCATCATGACTTTGCGTGGGCAAGCCGGCATGTGGGCAAGCCAACACGTGGGTAGGCCGGCGCGTGGGCAGATGGGCACGTGGGCAGATGGGTATGTGGGCAGGCTGGCGCAAGGAACAGGTGGGCGCATGGGTAGGCCCCTGTGGGGTTAGGCTGGCACGTGGGCAGGTGGGCGCCCGTCACGAAGACGCCTGGGTTCTAGTCACACTCTGACGGAGAACACGGGGCTAAGGAACCTTCTCCTGATGGTGGTTTTCTTGCAAGAGCAGCACAAGATTAACACAGCAGTAAAGAGCAAACTGACTGTACTGTAGCCAAGGAATAGAATGCCGGGGAAATCTAGCTGCTCTATTACTCATATAAATTACAGTGTTTATGATAATAAGCCCTATTTAAGGAAAGTTTCATGAAGAACAGCTAAACCTTTTTCATGAATACAAGCATGAAAAAGATTTGTTTGTGTAACTAGATTCATTTTCTGTTCCTGTATTTTCTTCAATCCTGTTACTGGAGTGTGAGAGCATGATTAATGTGTTTTGTGCAACAGACATTGGTCTGCAATGCTTATAATCACAAACACCCATTACGTGCTTAATAAATGTAAGGCCGCATTGTTCAGCGTGGCTTTAGATTCATTAAAGCTGCACAAATAATCAGTGGAAATGGAGCCGCAGACGCAGCACGGGATCTTTTAAAAGTGCGACTGCGTACACATCCACACACACACAAGTAACATGCAGACAGACACGTGTACACACATGCACAAGCAACATGCAGACAGACACACGTACACATCTGCACACATACGGGCAACATGCAGACCTGTGTGTCAGGTTGTCATTAATGCTAACAGCCTGCAAGCTACGGCTGTGTGGAAAATTCATTTATGACTCGGCATCCTGTGATTGGCAGAACTGTCACTGCCCCCCCCCTCCCAAAAAGAAATAAGGGGGCAGGAGATGGTCTAGCAGGAAGCTGGATAATTACGTAGCCTAGCGCGTGTTGGTAATGGATTCTGTGCTGTCAGCCCCAGAGTCGCATGCGCGGATTTGATGGGACAGCTGGTTCGGCTCCCCCCCCATACCTAAATTTACAGCACCGCCATAAATATATTGGCAGTTGAGGCAAACATTAGAGAGAGCCAGGCCGCCTTTATAAACTGTGTCGAATTAGCCCCTGCCTCGGGTTAGGGCCGATCATTAGGAACACACATATTAATCTGGTTGACATTATGGGCCCGGCCTGGGTCCCTTATCGCTGGTGTGAAACGCTGAGATGTGGCGGTAACTCGTGCGGCGAGGTGACAGCGCTGTGCTGAAATATTACTTATCTTGATAAAAGCTGACCAGAGAATGAATTCAGCACTAACACCTCATCTTGGCCAGGAGCCTGTAGATGGTTACCTCAGGTACTGATTTTTAAAAGCATACGTGAAAAATGTACCGGGGGCCTTTAGTGAACATGCGGGAGGCTGGAACAGGAAGTGTGGAAAAACAACAGAACGGATTTTGTGGGGGGGGGGATTGATGTGAATGTCTCGGGATGTGAAGGCCTTCCTGCTGAGGTGGGGTATCTGTCAGAAGGTCTTTAACAATACTTGTTGTTCATGCATCCATCCGTCCTGTTAGGGTCGAGGTGAACCAACGTCCACCAGGATAGTCTTCTATGGGTCCACTGGAGACAATCTGATGTTAAGAGTGGTAATTCAAGAGGACGGCAAGTTTGAGATGGCGGGAATATTATGAAGCACATTGATATCTTACATCAGCGCCGCATCCTGCAGGTTGTCATCTCCGTCACACAGTGATGTCATTCAGTTATTCTGTCATTCAAGGTTAGCTGACTTTAACACTTGAAATCTGAATGTGCATGGTGTCCCACACTCTGGCGTCTCAAAGTTTTTCTAAGGTCACCATGTGGTAATTTTATTGGAAGCAGCATAAAAAGGATCATTTTTTGGTCAGTGTTTGTGGCCTGCAGTAAACCAAAGAGAGCAGGGTCTCTGAAGTCGCCTGGCACTGTAATGTCCTTCCTCAAGCACTAATCGCACCTCGCACATTATATGAGAAAATCTGTCATAAAGGAGGCAGGTTACAGGAGATTTAAAAAAGTGCTTTTTAAATGTCATTTCCATCTGGGGAGAAAACTTCACACATAGGTACAGTTACATTGCTTTTTGCTGTAGGGTTGTTTTGATGTAAAAAAAAAATAAAGGTAAAGAAATAATCCACTCATATTTTCTCACGTGAAATAATGTACATATATCACTAATTTGCATTATTAATGGTTGATTCCCATGGTAAGAACTGTGGCTGGGTCACAGCCCACTGAGGGTATACTGTAGTGAAAAATCTGCATTCACACAGAAGGTGCACTTCAGGACGTCTTTGGATTGTATGGTGAATCTAAACGCAGGTCTGCAAACAATCGCAATAAGCAAACAGGGGAATGGCTTTTTACATTTTCATTGCATGTAGGACGATGGCTATGCTAAGTTTGTGTATCACGCGCTGATTGTGTGAAAATCCTCCATGGCATTCAGGGCTGAACGCATCTCTGTCAAAATGTCAGGCCAGTGCCATGTGACTGTCATGTGACTGGCTGCTTTTTTCCAGGAAGAAAAAAACAAATGGTGCAATGAGACAAGTTGTACATTTTGGAAGAACATATAGAATCCTCTAAGATTTTCAGTTACGTTCATTCTGATTCATCTGTAAGATTGATTAAGTGCATCACTTATACGTCGCTTTGGACAAAAGCGTCGGCTGAACAAATAAATGCAAATGTAAACTTTGATTTACACATAGCCCTGTTTGATGGGAGCTGATTAGAATACGACCATACTTTACAGCTGGACGGATTTGACATACACATGGCGGTGGGCTTGCTACTTAAAAGAGGGGGGAGAGAGAACATTTTCTAATCAGTGCAACACAGGTGGCAACTCTGTCATCTTTCTGCAGCCCCAGGTACAGGCCTGTTAGGGAGCCACTGAAAAGCCCATTTACCCACAATCCCCTTTGTCTTCACTACAGAGATGGCACCGATCGATGAGAGGAAGGACAGGCGTGACAGAATGATGACAGAGGTCTGTAAGGATAATAAGCCCAATACTAAAGCCAGAGGCTCACGATACAGCCCTCAGGATTTACATTTTTTTAACAGACTGCTAAATCAAGGTCCAGTCTGGATGATCGCGTCCAGTGAGTCATTAGATGAGAGAATATTAATGATTAATGGTCTTTGTGCCAGAGGAGTCCCTGCTTGTAATACAACATTAGCAGCTAGTAGATCAAAGGACAGAATTAATGAGGAGAGATTTGTGGGGATTCATCACGTCGGCGTTCCCTTCCCCAGGCTAATTAATTCTCTTAATTTAGAGCAAGGCAAGTTCTGCCGTAGCACCTCTCATGACAATAGCATGCTAATGCTAAACGGCTAAAATCAGGGTACGTGCTAATGTGCAGTGGCCCGGCATTTGCTCTGCTTCCACAGACGGGAATTAGCATGAATACTTTTTTACTTTAACAGTTTAATTAAACAGCTCACTTGGTATAATAAGTATTCCAAGGGCCAATTTCTCTGTGGTGTAGAGTATATTTTATATACTTTAAACTGTAAGAACCATTAAATCAAAACAGTTAAAGATGGCTGCAGCCTTTATTGAAAGGACTTGTTTTTGCCACTTCCGCTGTAAAAGTTTATGTATGGACTTATGAATTCCCCCGAATGAGGCTTTTTTTTCAGGTACTGATTTTTTTGGAGCGACCATTATCTCTGTTCTCTGAATGTGATCTCTTTTCCCTGAAAGGCAGGGCAATGATGTTTGGCACCGCTGAAAATGAGCGCCACCAAAACAGAAAATTTACAGTCTCCGTTTCTGTACTTTAATGCCAGGGCAGGTCACACCACCCGCTGTGGGGCCCTCAGTTGCTCTCAGTGGGCGAATAGCGTGTAGCACGTCCCCGCAGTAGCTAAGAAGAGCATAAAGAGTAACTGTTGCTCAATCAAGGGCAGTGAGATGCCCTACAGAACCTTCATCTGAGGTCAGCATTACACAGAATTCTGCTGCAAAGACCCAGTCCGGGTAAGCCATGAGGAATGGCTGTTAAACACATTAACCACACGCAATCTACTAGTAACTATCTACTAGGCCAAAACGACGCTTCATGAATTATTTGCTGTGTGTTCTGACCCTGATAAACGGTGCTCTTAGTATACTTAGTTTTTGAACAGAGAGCACCATCTCGCGGGGTCAGAAAACGCAGCAAATGGTTCATGAAGCATAGCTTGGGCCATCATTGCTATCCACTCAGTGTTTCCATGCACTAACCTGCCCAATGCTACATGTCTTAAAGCACTTATGTAAGTCGCTCTGGCTAAGGGCGTCTGCCAAATGCTGTAAATGTAATGTAAATGTACATGCTAACACTGCTAACGTCATGTAAAGCAACTCTCTCTAAAGGTAAAACCGTCTTCACATAGACCAGTTACCGCAAATGTGTGTGTATGTGTGCATATATATTTGCTGTATTTATATAATGAATATACAGGAAAAAAATACAGACACGTATATACATGAGGAAATTCTACATGCTGGATTACTGCCATGTACTCCAGTGTTTATGGCTTCTGGAGATTGGTGTTTATGGAATAAATATTAAAATGTGAGATGTTGTGTGTTATCAGCACCAAATTATGTTTTGAAAGGTATTGAAAGCACAGCAGTGTTTGAGTAGCTCTTCACCCAAATTATTATTGTGTTTTTCACTCTGCTACCACAAGCGGCTCACTCGCAGCTGCTCTGGGGTGCAGACGGCCTGTTTTAAGCCTGTGCTGTTCCGTTAGCGGATGCAGGCTAGCTCCGCAGAGGCTAGCTGTCACGTTAGCGGGGGCCGCAGGCTGGCTCTGTGTCTATGGGGGCTTAGCGGCAGGCTAAGCAGCGTGTGGCTAAGCGGCTGTCCAGCCTGCCAGGCTACCTGGGCTGCCAAACAGCCCAGCCGGTTAACCTGCGAGTCTTTCTGGCGCTCTACGGAACCTGCTCTTTTATCTGCTGGCCCACTCTGTGGCTCTCAAACCCCAGGCCCTGGCTGAGCTTCATCGTTCACTGTACAGGCCAGTGTGTGGTCCAGGGTAATCCCTGCTGCAGTGCCCAGCCACGAGAATCAGAGCCCACACACACGCTCAGCCACGAGACTCAGACCCCATACACACGCTCAGCCACGAGTATCAGAGCCCACACATACGCTCAGCCACGAGAATCAGACCCCATACACACGCTCAGCCACGAGTATCAGAGCCCACACACACGCTCAGCCACGAGAATGAGCCCACACACACGCTCAGCCACGAGAATCAGAGCCCACACACAGCCTCAGCCACGAGAATCAGAGCCCACACACACCCTCAGCCACGAGAATCAGAGCCCACACACAACCTCAGCCACGAGAATCAGAGCCCACACACACCCTCAGTCAACGAGAATCAGAGCCCACACACACTCTCAGCCAATGAGAATCAGAGCCCACACACACGCTCAGTCACGAGAATCAGAGCCCACACACACTCTCAGCCAACGAGAACCAGAGCCCACACACACGCTCAGTCACGAGAATCAGAGCCCACACACACGCTCAGCCACGAGAATCAGAGCCCACACACACGCTCAGCCATGAGAATCAGAGCCCACACACACCCTCAGCCACGAGAATCAGAGCCCACACACACCCTCAGCCACGAGAATCAGAGCCACACACACCCTCAGCCACGAGAATCAGAGCCCACACACACCCTCAGCCACGAGAATCAGAGCCACACACACCCTCAGCCACGAGAATCATAGCCCAC